TTGTTTTTTTTTTTATTCGTTTTTCACTTGATGCTGTGTTTTTCTTGCTCTTTCTCTCTCTATCTCCCCCATTTTTATAATTATCTTTGAATGTGCTGGCAGTTGTTGTTGATTATTGTTCTTTTGTCGCCAGTGCCTAGTCCCCTTCCTCTTACTCCCAATTCCTTGTATTTCTCGAGCCCCACAGTATCGTCTGCGATACCGTCTGTCGCTTGATAAATGCTATATGCAGAGGCATGTGTATTGTATGCATGTACATGTGTATTAGTGAATGTATGAATAATTGAAATTCATAGCCAATAGCTGTAGCCGTAGCTGTTAGCAAACAAACAAGTCAATGCCACTCCAACTTTTTAAATTATTTGCTGATTTAAATGCGGCTTCGATACACAGCAGTGCGTCAATGCCAGCCGCAGGCGCTAAAACATTGCCTGCAATGTGTGTACACACTGGTCCACATTACGGTTGAGGCTGCGCTTACACGCACCGTGCTACAGTCGGGACCCGATATATTGTTGCTAGATGTGACAAATTGAGAGAAAATTAATCAATTGATTCATCGTAATTCTCAAAGTCTACTCCACTCTTATTTGTATCTATTCAAAATAATTCTACACTGAATTTTGTCTTTATTAATTGCAACAATTGGACGTAATGCGGGGCCACACAACGCACATTCAGATATGCTCGTATAGAATATACCAGTTTCATATCTGTGAGTTAAACACCACGACCTTATGAATGTTCGAAATAAAAATGGTTTATTCAAGTTCATTCTGGTTTTCATTTACCATACTCGACCATTTTCCTGTTTCGTGACGTAGCTGGCAACAAATTGAAGAATGAAAATGTGTAAATGCTTTATAAGAATTTCCCTTTGATTATATTCCAATAACTTGCTTTGGGAGGAAAAATATATAAGTTAATTAACATGAAATCACATGACTGCGATGAGTAGGGCCCGCTACTGTGGCTCGTGCTCTCCCGCTCAGATATGGTTTGCGTTCGCACTGAATACAACACCCATATAAGCGAGTATGAGTATTTAGCCAACCATTATTGCTATTGTGTGTGTGTGTTTTAATTCGATTTATTAGCTCTCACGCTCAGAGACACACACTCACACAGGCAAATACCATTGACCGCCATTTGAAACTGGTTTTGCACTTCAATTAATGCTTTGCAATACATAGAATCGCTCCCCCATGAGACCTACCTGGCAAATTGGCACACGGCACTCTCGCCGCCCATGTTCCTCTCTTTTTATATTTCCCTTGTGTAAACTTTGGCTTGGCCTTATCAAAATTTTGCCTGACTTTCGGAATTTGACAGCTAGAGAGAGAGAGAGAGAGCGGTTGTTATACTCAGCTCCAAGGGAGAGCGTAATTCATGTGAAGTGGGGATCGTGGGGGGTTTTTTCCATCGAAAACCGACAGTTCAAAACGATCATGTGACTAACCGCTTTCTGCTACGATCGCGATCAGAATTGCTCAAATGAAACAATTGCCATTATTTTTTGGGGGAATGCTACAAATATTGCTCGAAAGCGAGAAGTTACATAAGGTAGATATTTGTGGATTTGGTGTTACCCTTTTTTGTTAGTTAGATAAAGCGTTGCCACACCTTTTGCCTTGGAATAACCAGTGTGACCAATGGTAGTGGGAGAAAGTTGCATCTGATGAACTTGAAACTAATTTTATTCTTTCTCTTAATTGTTACAGCTCTCGGCGCTGCTTATGGCACTGCCAAGTCTGGTACCGGTATTGCTGCCATGTCGGTGATGCGTCCTGAACTGATCATGAAATCCATCATTCCTGTTGTCATGGCGGGTATCATTGCCATTTACGGCCTGGTCGTGGCTGTGCTGATTGCCGGCGCGCTGGAAGAACCCTCAAAGTACACACTCTTCAGGTAAATATTCATTGGAATTCATCCACTCATCAGACTACTAACCATTCCAAAAATGTGATTATCCAACAGAGGGTTTATACACTTGGGAGCCGGTCTGTCGGTGGGTTTCTCCGGCCTGGCAGCTGGATTTGCGATCGGCATCGTGGGAGATGCCGGTGTCCGTGGTACAGCACAGCAGCCCAGATTGTTCGTCGGCATGATCCTGATTCTCATCTTCGCCGAAGTGTTGGGTCTCTACGGTCTGATTGTGGCCATCTACCTGTACACGAAATAAATCAATCAATTCAACCACACAACAACAACAGCAAATAGACAAACAGTCCCAGCAGTCTGCGCGGCAACACCAGCAGCCGCGGCAGGATCGGCAGGTAACATCAATCGTAACATCAGTCCCACAGCAGTGCGCGTGCGGTGGCTGTTCCGGCGACGACCGTTTGTATATAGCAACAAGATTCAACGTATCGGAATAAAGTTCGTCGACCGAGAATGGCAAGAGTACCGCCGCGTGTTGCACCCACGGGACAGTGCCTGCTCGATCCACTATGGGTTGCTGGCGCCTGGTTTAGCTTAGTTATTTTCCGTTCAAATTCAACCTTTAACAAGGAAAACAATCTGCAGTTAAGTTCGTAAAGTTGTAATAATTATGAGTTTTGCTATATCAAGAAATTCTCCTCTTTTTATCTTATTATTTTGCGCTCCACATTTGTGTGCTCTTTGTTATTTGTTTTTTCCATTATTATTATTAAATAATGTTTAGTGTATATGTAAAGTTCGTTAAACAAAAGAAAAACTGTAAAGAATCAACCAACAATTGTCAAAAGAAACTTGCGGCCTGTGGCCACGCGGCCGCACCAGATGAACAAAATAAGCGAAAGGGCCCCGCAAAAAACAACCAACAAAACAACAAACAAGCAGGAAGCAACAACATCTGCTTCAGCTGCCCCAATGCAACAGAACTCGTCTCCTCGCTCTACCCCCCTGCCCGTCCGATATGCCATCCAGCTGTTTGGGCGCACCTGCTTGCAGGTGGAACCTCACAACAGTCGGCTGGTGTATCACATGGGTCCAAAGGAATGAGGAGGAGTTCTGTTGCAGCTGGACAGCGATTAAATACTTGGCAATACTTCAACAAAGGTCAACTGCAACCAACTACAACTACATGCAATCATTCACACACACACAAACTCATATACAATTACCACACACACACACACACACACATACAAAAAACCAACAAAAACGTAACTAAGTCCTATGTTTATTTTTAATTATTGTTCAATTCTAAGAATAATACATTAAAAATTAATAATAATAAATTATATATATATATAATTATGATTTTTTGTGATAAGAGACGGTAATACAACAATTACGGTATTGATATACATAATATATACAGAATATATATATATATATATATATATATAGAAATGAGAAGAGATCAAGAAATCATTAAACTTATACATATTAACATGAGAAGTTGTTATAAAAAACAAACGTACGAAGAAAGCAACAAGACAACAAACAACCAAGAAACACAACAACAACCAACCTTTTCCGCTGTTATTGTATAGTAAAGAAATATAATTATATATATCAAATATATATTATGTATAAAATATTAACGAGAAATTGTAGTAGCAAAATTATAAACCAACAAACAAAAGTCGTGCAAGCAGAACCCAAAAAGGCGTAGACGGCGGTTGCAGATGGAACAACCCCCAATCCCCTCATCCAACAACCGGAACAACCGAGAACATCCTCCAATCATCCAAAACTAAAGTCTACGAGAAAATCCAACAAAAAAAATTGTAAAATCCCACAAATTAGAAGTTATGTGAGCAAAACACAAACATTAATTAACTTAAAACCTATCGAAAGCGAGACCATCAAGCCATCGATCGATTTGTATGTGGCATGCGGCAAGCATCAACAATAAGTTGTTGAGGGAGGCGTTACAGACGGCTCGATCGCCATGCCCGAGAAGGCGACATCAACCCCTGCCCGTCGCTCGCCGATGCATTCATGATGCTGAGAATGCGGAGGTGTCCGACCTGTGCAGGGAGTCGCCTTTTCGTGGCGTTGGTCGTGCCGACTGCACCTACCTCCCGCCCCCACAATTATGCAAAAACAACAACAAAACAGGCACAAAAAGACAAACAAAAAACACACACACACCTCGAGATCTACACAATTAGCATTTGTACATAAGAATGTGTCGTACCGCTGATCCATTCCCAGGTCCTCCTCCGCTGCTCATCAAAGCTGCAGCGCCCGTGTCGCGTTCACTTTGCGGAGTGGTGGCGGAGATGCCTGGCCTTGGAGCAGGTGCGATCGATCGATCCATTGGTTGACAACTGTTAAACGAGCAAATCCTGTGTGGAATCCGTTTATATGTATTTTGTTAAGATTATTGCGATCAAATTGTGTCACGATTTATTATTGTTATTTGTGCGTATGTGTTCCTCCGTATTCCCACTCTGTATACACACGACCCCTTACCTAACTACCTACCTATGTGTAACCCATATGCAATCGATGATTAGGTTTTAGAACTGTAACTGTGTATTCGAAACAACATCCGAAGCAAGCAAACAACCAACAACAGACATTGTATGAAATAAATTGTAATTTCTAATTTCCAAAAAAAAACCTTGATGTGTTTTCAAAGGGTGGGATCTGTGGGGAAAGTTTTCAGATTTCGCTTAGAATGGGGCTGTAAAAGCATTCTTCAAGGAACAAAGATAGTTTTGTTTTTTGTCACAGGAAGCCATGGCACACCCAGAGCGGTCCAACATTCACCGACTGCTGTCTACTCTGAGTTACTTTTTAGATCGTTATATAAGTTAAATATCGATCGCGTTCTTGTTTGTAACCGAGATACCGTTGCCTTGATTACGTATCCTGTCCATTTTTAGGTATTTTTCCACGCTATAAAATGAAAAGAATGCCATTCCAGATCACAAAAATGTACTTCAATTATAGCTGGAAATGAACATTGTCACCATTAAAAATATATTAATATTCGCTTACGCACCACCATCAAACTTAGAGTTGATTTTACACTCCGGATGCAGATACTTTCGACAATGCAGACCGAGCTGCTGCTACTCCTATTTCTCTGCTTCTGCCTCGACAAGAGGCAAGTGGTAAGCACTCAATTAGGGAAAGATTCAATAACGTTAGGAGTGAATTTTTACCCATAGCTCTGCGATGATCAGTTGGTGTACAAGTTGACGAACATCGAATGCCAAGAAAATCCGGATCGGGTAAAAAATATATCCTGCAGTCTGAAAGCGATCAACTGGAATAGGGCGATCGCCAACATGATTTAAGACTATATAGATAGATGACTATGCCAATCAGTGGAAGCCTTTCCTGGTGGATGTGTCCGTTAACGTAAACGGAGTTTTCTGCCCTACGGTGTCATCATGTGGAAGTGTTCGCAGCGATTCACCAATGTGAACCACTCCTTCCCGATTTCGGTATGGTTTGTGGTCTTCGCTCCCTTCTCCATTCTGTACTCTCGTTTTCAGGGCCATCTCTTCGCTCGCAATGGTTATTTGGACACATCCTTGGTACCACCCTTTTCCATTGGCATCTACCAGCTGAGTTCCGTTATCGTGGATAAGAACTCTACCATCAGCGAGCACATAGGCAGCGTCAAGTTCCATATGCAATCCATGCTGACGGTGAAGAGCAAGAAGAGACCCAAGCCGTAGAAGCCGGCTGGACTCTTTTCGGAATAAAACTGACAACTGCAACATATTTTTTTTCTTTCTATATATTTTCATTTCTCAGCGCGTTTACATGTTCTGTTCTTCGGGTTTCAGTGTCTGTTTGAGTCCACTTGTATATACTATGCCACGTGTGTGTGTTCTGTTCTGTTCTGTTTTGTGTGTATATTGTATATAGTTCATATAATATATATATATATATCTTTTCTTTTGATTACATTAGTTACATTTGAATCAACTGCAGTTGCTGGCTCTGGGATCTATAACCTGCATCTGCATCTGCCCGTATGGATACGAATGTTAACTCAACTGTTGCTTGGCCATAACCGAAAAGACAAACACACGTACATGTGCATGTGCACAACATCTGCTACTGTACGTCTGCTATTGATGGATTCATAATTGATTTCCCTCTGCAATTCATTAAAGCGGTTGTAATATTAATCTTTATTTTTATGATATATCGAATACATGTATATCTCGCACTGGATAAGTCCCGTTCCTCTATGTACACAAACTAAAACAGGGCAAAGCAAAGGTTAGGGCAGGGCAGGGCAGCGAAACTCCCTACCGAAATGATCGGAGTCACGTACTCGTAATAACTGTATAACTGGAGCATGGCTTATCCTACACACTGTATGTATGTATGTATGTATGTATTTGTGTATATGTGTATATGTGTAGACTGACTTGACTGTACGGTATATTAGCAAAATATGGAATTAGCCTACGTTTGTATGTGTGTGTCCTACGTGTCTATGCTTTCCCTTGTTGTTGTTGTTGTTCGTTCGTTCGGTTCTATCGGTTCCTGAATGCACTTTTTTCTTTATGAACTGTACAATACAATACTATACAATACAATACATTACAATACTCTTTGTTTTGCTTTAGAAAATTCGTATCGAAAAATTCCTTTTTGTTTGTGTTCTCTATGCTTGCAAAAATTTGAGGTAGTTTTATTTTATTTGAATTTCTTTATCTTTATCTTCTTTTTTGTTCATCTTAATCTTTTTCCTTTTTCCTTTCCTTCCGTTTGTGTTTTAGTTTTAATTTCTCTCGTTTTGTTGTTGCCATACAAAAGCCTTGAACAATTTTGGGTGAAAGGCATCGAAAGTGGAACCGAATGGAAGAACTAAACTCGATCAGCGATTACAAAGTATTATGTAAAGTATTGCTTTCCATACACACGATCAGGTTCTATAAAAGCCAGGCGGGGGCCATATACATACACTATACATACAGGGGCGCACATAGATTTGTGTATATATATATTTGATTCTGGTATACAATTATCGGCTAAAACTAATTGGGGCACAGAGACGCATCTACACTATCTCTAGACAACACTCAGATAATCAGATGATAATATTACTCGTCGTATAGCTATGATACACATATCGCTTTAGGGCAGTTTTATGGTTTGCAACATATTGAAAAAGGATTGCCATTGGGGAAGGAAGTCATCTCATGGCTGACTCCTTGCACACTAAATATTATCAGTTCAGTCGTTCCTAACAACTGTGGGTTCATGTTGTTCATCCATTTGGATGAAAATCGACACTCCGAATCGCCTGCGAGTCTGCCAAAGTACTTTGAAATAAATACTTTTTCCGACTTTTTACGCGTTTTCAACCTTCGAAATTTTCGAAATATTTGGCAGTGTTGAGTAATTGTTTTTTGTGTCTTTCTCTCGTTTTTCGATTCAGTTTACGTTTTTGGTTTTACTTACTTTAAATTCACATTTAAATTCATTGGCGTCGAGCAAAAATTATAAATTACGTTTACTGTTAAGGCGAATTTTTGTTTATATTGTATGTTATGTATGTGAATTGAGTGTGTGGGTTTGGGTCTGGGTCTGCCTGCCGTTCAGATATGTACATGTGTAAAACCAACAGCAAAATCAGTGAAAACGATACAAAAGATAAAGATAAATCGTTCTAATGCGTTTGTGGGTGTGTTTTTGTATGATGTGTGGCTCTGCTGCTCCTTTCGATAACTTTATTTGCATAGTTCGTTTAATGTGGGATTGGATTGTGTTGTTGTTGCCTTGGCCAGGTTCTAAATGATTCGTTTAGGCGTAGCTTAAAGGGTTTAAGAGCGAAACTAGTTAATGATATTTTTTATATGTATATATATATCTATTTATAATGTTATGTACAGACTGCTCCTCTTGGAGACGAGTTTTGCATGGGATTTTTGCACTAACTTAATGGATAATCAATCGTCAATCGATCGTTTGGGGCTTGTTGTTTGCATTGCTGTTCGAATTGAGTACAAAATGTTTTACAAATATTTGATGCAGCTTTCTTTGTAGCTTTTGTAAATGCTTCAAGTCTTGTGTCCTTCTTTGCTTGTTTTTTCTCCACTTTTTGCTCTCGCTTCTACTCTACTTTAAAGTTAACCCTTGGACCACCGAGCGAGCCGTGGGTTGTGTGTGCGTTTTTTGGAAGTTTTGGCCTGGTCCTAAAGTTACGACTAAAACAATGGGAACGAAACGAAACGAAACGAAACTAAATGAAAGTAAAACATGAATACACGAGAAACTAATACAAAATACATTAGAAACAAACAAGTCTTGTTCACTCCACTCCACTAACACTACCAAATAGTAGGCTATGGGTTGCTCCATCAAAATGTACAATTAACTAAGGGCTAAAACCTACAAACTAGAAACGCTACAACTTAAGACATTTTTGTTCATAACAGTTGCTCGAACGCGCGCGGGTGGGTTGCGATAAGGTGGCCACAGTAACTGACTCGGATCTCTTACATACGATAATGTATGTATATGCGATAAATGTATGTATGTATGTATGTAACTATGTACAATGTACAGCGAACAAAGAGGATGATCGATGATCAAACTGAACAAAGCGTAGGCCCTGGTGGTCTGTCTCTGATATCTGCACCCTAAATGGTGTGTCTGTCTGGTGTGTGTTTATATAGATCTATATAGTACGATATATGTGGTACGATGGCTTAAACTTATAATCGTAGAATATCTATTCTAGTTGTCACTGTTTACTCGTTTGTCTCCTTGCTACTTAATGAATACTTTTTTGCTTGTGGTTCTGTTTCTCTTATATGGGCACCAGAGCATCCGTTGGCACCACGGGCACCATCTTGGGCGGCTTGCGGGGATGCTTGCGGCGCTGCTGCATCTGCAGTTTGGCAATGCTGAGCACCTGCTGGTAGCTGGACACAGTCCCACTGCTGGCAGTCCTCGAGCTGATGGTCGCAGAGATGCCATCATCCTCCTCCTCCTCCTCCTCATCGTCCTCTTCATCCTCTTCCTCCTCGCAGTCACTGGCACCCAGCTCCTGCAGCTCGTTCACATTGTAATCGTCGGCAAAGAGCTGTGCATCGTAGCGCAGCCTATACGCCGTGCTCAGCAGACTGTCCACGCGTGTCTTTTCCGCCGGACGCATGTGCTTGATGTGCAGCACCTTCGTGTGGCAGCGCGTCCGGTTCGGACACTCGGGCAACCACTCGTCCGATATTCTGTGGAAGAGAGAGGGATTATGCATTGTTAAAGACAAATATCCATCAAGCTGGACTTACATCTCGCGCGGGGACCAGCGCACGAAGCAATCGTGTCCGCCCTGGCTGTTCCGCCTTCGCATCACGCACTGGCCCTGGAAGGTGATGGCCTGGGCGCCATTGGTGAGCGTGCTGATCTGGCGCAGGCGATGCTGCAGCCCCTCCATGATGCCCGTGTCGAAGAAGTCGAACATGCGAGCTGCAAGAGAGTCGGTTAGCTGTCGGCCAGTCTTCGAGTGCTTTGGGCGGGACCCACCTGAGAAGGGCTGTCGGCGGTAGCGCAGCTTCTTGCCATTCTTCCGCAGCTGCTTGGGCACGGGCGGGTCGGAGGTGCGCTTGCTGGTGCTCTCCTTGACGTTGTCGGTGGCATTGAAGTGATTGTTCACATGCTTCTGCAGTGCCAGCTGTAGGAAACGTAAGGTTAAAAGGCAATCCCTAGCTAAAGACTGCAGCTCAAAGCATTTACCTGTGAGCCGAACCTCAGGCCGCAGCCCTCGACAATGCACTTGAACTGCTTGGAGCCGCCGTGGGAGAGAACGTGGCGCTCCAGCCAGCGGCGCGAGCAGGACTCCTTGTTGTACACCTTGCAGCCCACCCAGAGGCAGGCAAAGGGCCCCGTCTGGGTGTTCACGTGATGCGTCTGCATGTGGTCCAACAGCTTTGAGTTGCTCTCGTGCTTCTTGTTGCACTTGTCCCAGTAGCAGACGCCGTCGTGCCGCTTCCCACCCTTGCCGCCGGCCCCAGCGCCTGCCGGGAACCGGATGGTCTTGGGCTGCGAGAGTATCGGCGAGATGGCGCACTTGGGCAGGCTCTTGCTGGCCGCTTCGGCCAGGGCCGTGTCCACCACTGTGTCCGCGCTGCTTGCCGGCGTGGGGCAGGGCGAAATGGAGTCTGGGGAGTCTGGAGCAACGTCTGGGGCGGCGGGCGAGGGTGCGCTGCTGGCCAGGGAGTTGCTGTCCGAGACGGAGGCAGACGCGGATGAGGCAGTTGTGGGCGGGCAGGCCGAAACCGACTTGGCAGACCTGCAAGAAAGAAATTAAAAAGGCAGTTCTCGATCCACTCGGTAAGCTACTTACATGCCATCCGCGATGGAGTTGCTGCTCTCGCTGTTGCTCAAGCTGCCGCCGATACCGGACTCGGGCGTGGGCAGATCCCGCAGCCGCTTGTGCGTCGGATGCGTCTCCAGAGAGCCCACCGACTTGTCATCCTCCTCGTCGTAGTTGCTGCTCCCGCTGCTGCTGCTGCTGTTGCTCCTAGCGCTGGCAATCGGAGGCGGCGTGGCCGTCGGCTCGCTCTTCTCCGGCGGCGGCTGTGTCATGTCTGTGGTCGTCTGGGAGCAATCCTCGCCACCGCTGGAGATGCACGACGAGGTGACCATCTCGCTGAGCATGTCCGTCTGACTCGCGGCCCTACGGCTGCTGCTGCTGCCCGCTGAGGGCGACGGC